AGGGTGTGGGGTAGGCCCAGGCCCACATCTCTTCTTGTTAGGGCCCAGGCCTCTTCAGTGACAGGGGTAGGCCCAGGCCCAAATCTCTTCTTGTTGGGCCCAGGCCTCTTCAGGGTCAGGGGTAGGCCCAGGCTCACATCTCTTATTTAGGGCCCAGGCCTCTTCAGGGTCAGGAATGGCCCCAGGCTCACACATCTTCTTGTTGGGCCCAGGCCTCTTCTGGATCAGGGTTAGGCCCAGGCCCTCATTTATTGTTTGGGCCTAGGCCTCTTAAGGGTCTGGGGTAGGCCCAGGCCCATATCTCTTCTTGTTAGGGCCCAGGCCTCTTCAGGATCAGGGGTAGGCCCAGGCCTCTTCAGGGTCTGGGGTAGGCCCAGGCCCATCACTCTTCAAGTTAGGGCCCAGGCCTCTTCAGGGTCAGGGGTAGGCCCAGGCCCACATCTCTTCTTGTTGGTCCCAGGCTTCTTCAGGTCCAGGAATGGGCCCAGGTGCGCACACATCTTGTTGGGCCCAGGCCTCTTCATGGTCAGGGGTAGGCCCAGGCCCACATTTATTGTTTGGTCCCAGGCTTCTTCAGGGCCAGGAATGGGCCCAGGCCCACACATCTTCCTCTTGGGCCCAGGCCTCTTCAGGGTGTGGGGTAGGCCCAGGCCCATATCTCTTCTTGTTAGGGCCCAGGCCTCATTAGGGTCTGGGCTAGGCCCAGGCCACATCTCTTCTTGTTAGGGCCCAGGACTCTTCATGGTCAGGTGTAGGCCCAGGCCCATACCTCTTCTTGTTGGGCCCAGGCCTCTTTAGGGTCTGGGGTAGGCCCAGGCCCATATCTCTTCTTGTTGGGCTCAGGCCTCTTCAGGGTCAGGGGTAGGCCCAGGCCCACATCTCTTCTTGTTGGGCCCAGGCCTCTTCAGGGTCAGGGGTAGGCCCAGGCCTCTTCAGGGTCACAGATAGGCCCAGGCCCACATCTCTTCTTGTTGGGCTTAGGCCTCTCAGGGTCCGGGTAGGGCCAGGCCCACACCTCTTCTTGTTGGGCCCAGGCCTCTTCAGGGTCAGGGGTAGGCCCAGGCCCACATCTCTTCTTGTTGGGCTTAGGCCTCTTCAGGGTCTGGGCTAGGCCCAGGCCCACATCTTTTCTTGTTTGGGCCCAGGCCTCTTCATGGTCTGGGGTCGACCCAGGCCCACATCTCTCCTTGTTAGGGCCCAGGCCTCTTCAGGGTCTGGTGTAGGCCCAGGCCCATATCTCTTCTTGTTGTGGCCCACGCCTCTTCAGGTTCAGGGATAGGCCCAGGCCCACATCTATTCTTGTTAGGCTTAGGCCTCTTCAGTGTCAGGGGTGGGCCCAGGCCCTCATTTCTTCTTTTTAGGGACCAGGCCTCTTCAGGGTCTGGGGTTGGCCCAGGCCCACATTTCTTCTTGTTAGGGCCCAGGCCTCTTCAGGGTCTGGGTTTGGCCCAGGCCCACACCTCTTCTTGTTGGGCCCAGGCCTCTTCAGGGTCAGGGATAGGCCCAGGCCTATATCTCTTCTTGGTTGGGCCCAGGCCTCTACAGGGTGCAGGGGTAGTCCCAGTCCTACATCTCTCTTTTTGGCCCTGGACCAAATACAGCTTTATACTTCATGGTTAAGAGGCGTCTCAGCACCACATTCCTTTTTGCATTCTCCTGGGCCTGTCGGGGTCAGGCTCAGGCCTACTCACACTCTTTTTTTAAATGCCCAAGGCTTCTTCCATTTGAGCCGCTGGGACATGCCTATGTATCTTAGCATTGAGGGTCTGATCATCAGGGTTTAACATACCAGTTTCTTTACAGCTTGTCTAGTGGATCATTCTGAGTTCTTGGAGGTCAAAACACACATTTACGTTAGTGTTTATATATGGTCATCATTTCTGAAAAGAAAGAGAAAAAACAAAATTAAATAGAGTTTTGGGTAATTATAGAGGATAATATTGGTGTTCTTTTAATGCATATCATTGACCTGTCTTCAGGGAAACATACACAGATACAGACATCTATAACCCACCATCAATATGAAACAAATTTATATTATACAAATGGAAAGATGAAGTATATAAGGAAGTTAGAAAAGACTTTCTTCTTCTTCTTCTTCTTCTTCTTCTTCTTCTTTTTTTTTTTTTTTTGGTGTTTTGATACAGGGTTTCTCTGTGTAGCTTTGTGCCTTTCCTGGAACTCACTTGGTAGACCAGGCTGGCCTCGAACTCACAGAGATCCACCTGCCTCTGCCTCCCGAGTGCTGGGATTAAAGCTGTGCGCCACCACCGCCCGGCTTAGAAAAGACTTTCATGTTGCACAGCTCACTGGCCATGTGGTGGAGACTGCCCATGAGCTCATATGGAATGTTCAGTGCTTCTAAGTTGTGAGACCCTCAAGAGAGTTTCTTCAAGACATCATGCTGCATTTCTTCCTGTGGTACCCTCCATGAAGGAATATCACAGGGAGTTACAATAGATGCTAGTCCTCTGTGTGTCTTTAGGATGCCTTGCAATTGGAGGCTGTGCAGATCTTCACAAGCTTCTTTCCCTGGTTAGGATATGGTGTCTTGTCCCTGTATGTCATGCATGGCCATGCTCTGTGAGGATCCCTTTCTGGTCTCTGATTCGCAATTCTTCTGAAGATCACATCTGTCTTGTCCACCAAAAACCCCTCAGTTACTGAACTGTGCCTTCAAAACCCCTTTCCAGATATCTCCCTGTCAACTGTAAACACTGGTGTGAGATCACTTCTTCACCTAAAGAATTTTCTACAGTCACTCACCTGAAATGCATCCCTTCCCACATTCTCCTGGTTCAAATCCCTGCCTTCTCTCACTCTGCTGCCCTTAGCCATAGGGCTCACCTTTAACCATGACAGTGACCCTCATATGAGGTCACAGAGGCCAGTCCTCACTGGGAAATCTCAAAGGCTGTCCAGGCGCATGGGTACATTTTGGGCTAGCACTTATGGGAAGTATCTGAAGGCATCTTTTATGACCAATTCATGGGAAGAAGCTCAGACCCATGCCTCCTCTTTCTCTAGGGAACTTTACCCCTGGGAAGAGCAAGTCCAATGGGGATGAGGTGTGCACACTCAGTCCCGATGTGCAAAGTGTAATTTTTGGTTTATCATTTCTGATGCCCTGGTTATCAGCAAGTTTCTCTCATCATGAAACTTGGAGTGTGCCATGTTCTGGGCCCTGGGTACCAAACTGATTGATAAATTGTCCTGCAGCCTGTTCTCTCGCCACCATTAAACCCAGCTTGAAGTAGGATTGCCCAGAAAGCAGGGTGTCATGAAATTTCTGTACCTGGACGTGCAATGGTAGTCGATGACCTCTGAGAGCGTCACTCACTGGAGAACAGCACAACATCAGAACTTCATCCTGTACCAGTCTGCAGCACAGGCTGGGGGTGGCCATCCCTGGGCCTCATCGTCCGATGAGTTGTGGGTGTCATCTCCCTGAGTCCTTATTTTGACAATTCCTTGGCACACATTCCACTGATACTGCAACTTTTTTTTACTTCTATAGCACAGGTCCTGTTAGAGGTCACCTCAAGGACCACATTGTGCCTCACATTACACCCTCCCACTTTTCAGTATAACACACTGTTAATTAGGGCTTCATCCCTGGAATCCTGTATGTATTTTTCCCACCACATAGCCCAAACCTCACTGCATACCTGCAAGCAACTCTTTCTGAATCCTGGCCCACCCCAGTAGACACTGACTTCCCTCACAACACCACAGCCTTTACCTTGGCAATGAGCTATTATGTGAGGTAACAGAGGCTTGACCACACCTCTGTCCAGCTTATTCCTCTGTGCCTGAGTGCAGCATGAGGAACAGCCATGGTTTCCCAAACTGTGCTGAGCACTCTGTTCCAGCACTGTGGAAGGCGTTCCCTGTGGTGAGTTCATCTTATGAACAAAGCCTGAATGTAGTGGGTAGCCATTCCAGCTTTGATCTGGAAGTTACAACCCCCATTGAGGCTTTGGTAACTGTCACGCCTACAAGGTGGGGCCGAGAGAGGACCCTGAAGACCCGAGATACAGAACACTGGCTCTCTTGGTTCCTGGACCCTGGACGCTGGAGGTAGACCGAGCAGAGTTCTCCAGAGAACACCTACTGCGCTACACCTTTCCCAGACCCTGTAAACTATCCCTTCACTTGTGAGTTACCCTACAAAATAAACCTCCCTTTTAACTGCGTGGAGTTGCCTTAATAATTTCACCTATACCTGAACATAAAGTTACCCTGTCTCATATGACAATGTGTATATTGGTAGGGAAGACACATGACAGCGTTCAGTGTCCCCTGTAAGCACTTTCCCACGTATGACATGGACCTGCAGACAGAGCACACACATGAGCACACACACAAAGTGCAAATGTCTGTACTCACAGAACTGGAGGGTAGAGTGCTCTCGTGGTGTGTCCTCTGATGGTGACATTGATGTTTGCTTCCATATTGTGACAGCTGAGTACAAATGAAAACATTGCCACTGCAGGGACTGGAGTCCTCGAGGAAGAGCAGACGACAGTCCCCCAGGTGCTTTTCCTACCTTCCCTGGAGAAGCCATGCATGCTGGTCTAATGTGCCCATTCAAACAGGAATGGATCCTTCTTCATTACCTATGCTGGGTGCTGAGTCCTGGCCTAGAGACACCTGTACAGCTTCATCTTAAGGCCTCTCTCCCTGGTGAGACGAGGGGTGTCTCTCCCTGTGGTCTTGAGGGACCAGTCCCACTGCTATAAGATGTCTGACCCCTGATCTTTCTAGTTCTTAGGATGAGCTGTCCTCAGGCAGGAACATTTCAATGACCTCACTATGTTTCATTCTCCCCATTTAAAGCCTCAATGAAGAAGTGCCCCACACTGACTGAGTCACTCACACGATGAATTTCAGGCAGCATCCATCCCAGAAAACAGCCCAAACTTACCCAGACACTTGGGCCTGGTTCAAATCCCAGCCCTCGTTGGTGGACTCTGTGTTGCTCCAGTCAAAGAACACTGGTGTTTCTGCAGCAGATTTACCTGTGAGGTCACAGAGGCCTCACCTCACTTCATTCTGAGAATCCCAAAGGGCATCCTGGCCTCAGTTACCTCCCAGCTAGGCCCATCCTTATTCTCTCCCAAACTGTGTCAAGCATCCTTGGAAACACATAGATTGGGAAAGTAGCTGGAAGTGTTTCACAGAGACCCCTCCATGGGAATCACATACATCTTGTGGCAGCCCTCCATCTCTTCTGAGGTCACTGCATCCTTGAGAGGAGGCACACAGTTGACAGTGCTGCTTCCTCATCTCAAATGTCTGAACTCACCCTCTGTCTCAGCATCTCAGATTCTCCATAGGCATCACCGTTTATTGCTGGCATTCACCTGCGGGGTGCCATCTTCTGCGTCTTGCATCTGGCTCCAAATGTAGCCATACCTCGTTTCCTATTTTCCCTCTGCACCACTAATCTTTTAGCTTGTGGTGGGTGGTGGGTTATTAGCTGAGTGTTAGGCTGCAAGGCCAGTGGCCCTTAGTTTTAGAGGGAACAGTGTGAAAATATATAGATCAGTAGTGAATAAATACACAGCATTCACGAGCCACAATAGAATGAATTGCAGACAGAGCCCAGAATGAGGTGTGAGAATCCTGGGAGCACATGCTTTCACTTGTCCTATCCTCAGTGAACCTTCCACCTGAATAACTGTGTTTGTGAATAATCATCCTGTCTAGATATGTCTCACGCCACTGTCCACATGCACTTGCAGTTTATGCAGTATTGGGAGCCCGTTCTGTTACCTGCTCTTTCCTGGGACTCTGTCAAGTCCATGCTTCCCCTGTGCAGGAGCTACAGTCTCTCAACCACCAGGTTTCCAGTGTTTCTCATGACGGGGTGGTGGGTGTAAAACATGACTGACACCCAACACTTGACACCCAACACTGGGGATTGCTGGGCACACATGGCCATGGGGCCACTGTACATTCTCTGTAGTTTTCAGAATGTGGAAAGTTCAGTGGATAAGTGTGAAATCCTCTGCCTGAATTATGCTGGCTCTCCCTGTGGAGACCAAGTGTCCAGCTTCTGGCATGAGGATGTTTTAGGGGAGTTGCACTGTGTTTTTGCATTCAGATAGGTTCCCATGTAACATGACTCATGAGCATGAGGACCCTGTGGGTGTCATTTGGAGATTGTGGGAAGTCAGAGTGCCTGATAGAAGGACCTCCCTCCCTTCCTCCCCCCCCCCCAGAACTTCTGGAGGAGCATTCCAGGTCTGATTAAATACAGTGCATGTGTTGTCTGCTGCCATTCCATTGACCAGAAATTTGTCATGTGTCCTTTGGATCCACCACCAGAAAGGCTGAGATGGAGTCTTGATCTCAAGGGCTTTCTATGTTTTCAACTCCATATTGAAAGTTCTATTTGTTTTTCTTCTGACACATAGTAATTGGACACATTTATAGGGTACAATGTGATACTTCCATTCATGTATGTATTGTATAATGATCAAATCAAGGTAATTAATATCCATCACTTTATTAATATCTCAGAACTACTCATGGCTTAAGTTTAGTATCTTAAACTTTTCCCTTTCTTTGTTGTGAGAACTTTGAAAGTTCTTTCCTCTAACTATCTGAAATACACAGTGTGTTACTGTTAACTATAGTCATCATGCTGTTGGAGCTCCCAGATGAATGAGATCACACAGTGTTTGTCTTTTACATATGTATTTATTGTTACTGCATGTGAGTGTGTACGCTGTGGAATGTCATTCTGTATGCTGTGAATATATGCTGCTCTGATAAATTGGTTGATAAATAATGCTGGCCAATGGTGAGGCAGAATAAGATTAGGCAGTACATTCCAACTAGAGAGAGAGGAAGGAGAGAGGCAGAGCAGAGGAGACGCTGCCAGCCACAGCCAGAAGAAGCAAGATGTAAAGGTATCAATAAGCCACAAGCCACGTGGCAAAGTATAGATTTAGAGAAATGGGTTAATTTAAGATACAAGATATATAAACCTGCCATGGCCATAGTTTAAAATAATATAAGCCTCTGTGTGTTTACTTGGGTCTGAATGGGCTGCAGGACCGCAGGGCCTCAGGAGCTGGGAGGGACACAGAAAAACTTTCAGCTACAGGGCATCCTCTCTGGTGGAATTCTCTGTGCTTAGAAGGAAAAACATGCCGGGCAGTGGTGGCACTCACCTTTAATCCCAGCACTCAGGAGGCAGAGGCAGGCAGATCTCTGTGAGTTCGAGGCCAGCCTGGTCTACAGAGTGAGATCCAGGACAGGCACCAAAACTACACAGAGAAACCCTGTCTTGGAAAAAAAAAAGAAGAAGAAGAAGGAAAAGCTAGCTCAGTAGTTAAGTGTTGGCTGTGCAACTAAGAGGACCTGAGTTCGTATCCTACCATCCACATACCAGGCCCACTAGAATGTGATGTGTGTCTGTACCCCCAGTGTTCTCTGAAGGTTGCTGGCTGCCAGTGGAGAAATAGAGAATAGGATCATTGAGGGACCCCCCTCCCAACACACACCACAGGAGACTAAATCAGAGAGGGATAGAGTAGAGAACACCCACACCCTTCCCTGTCCTCCACGCTGCCACATAGGTTCATATACCTGCACACAAGCACATATAACATATACACTAACAGGAATTAAGGGGAGAAAGCAATTTCTAAAAGAAAAAATAATCTGGGGTCAGTGAGCTGGCTTGGCAGGTGTAGACACTTGCCCCGCAAGCCTGAGTTTGGTCCTCTGACCTTGCACAAAAGTGGAAGAAGAGAACCATCTCCACAGAGTTGTCCTCTGATTGCCGCAGGGACTCCAAGGTACACTCACCCCATCCATGGTGCACATACGCCATATGAGATGATTTTTAAATCAGTTTCGTCATTTGAGCGTATGTGTGTCTGCATCTCTGTGTGTGGGTATGTGTGTGTCAATGCAGATGCCATGGGAGACCAGAGGAGTCTGAGCTCCATGGAACTGGAGTCTCAGGCAGTTGTGAGCTGCCCAACGTGAGTTCTGGGAATCGAACTCTGGTCCTCTACAACAGCAGTATGGAGCCATCTCTCCAACCCATAAGTCTGCTTTATTCATCATTATAACGCAAAATATGTACTTCATATTTTCTTGCCAGAAAACGGTCTTTTCTTTATGAAGTAATAGACAGTAATTGAGTTTGGAAGAATAAATTTGTTTTAGTAAAATTAAGATTCAGAATTTTGTTTTGTTTTGTTTTGGAAATCAAGTCTCACACTTATAGCTCAGGCTGGTCTTGAATTCTCAGCAATTCTGCCTCAGCCTCTTGTGTACTATAGTTACAGGCATGAACTAGTATGCCCAGCAAGACTCAGAACTCTTATGCTGATGAAGTAGAAGAGGCAAAAACGATCAACTTCTAGATACTGATTTATTGACGTATTTAGTGATGTACTTAAGACACTGCTTGCACCACGCATTTGCTAACCTCACTTGCTCCCTGGAACAGGATGACCTGGAGAAAGAGAAAGAGCTGAAACTATGGGTTGTTGCTCTTAACAACTTGCTGAATGCCATCCATGCTTCTGTAAAAACATCTCTTGCTAGCCTGCCCTACCTTGTGGTTTTAGAATATAAAATGAGAGTGGAAACTGGACATGGGACCGAGGCCTTCCAGGAGCTGTCCCGGCTTCCATCCACCAGTGACATCATCTCTCCTACTCCATAGGTGCTAGGGTGCTTATTCCAGAAAGATTCCTGGGACACTGAAGAAATTGTTTCTCTTTATGAAACCTAAAGGTCTGGGCAGCCCTGGTATAATTCTAACTCATACTAACAAGTTGGGATACTGTGGACGGAGACAGAGAAATATCTGCCTCCCCTCCTTCCTTCCGGGTCACCCAGAATAAGTCTGGTGGCCGAGAATATCCCCTGGTCCCCTCACAGGGGCAGCTGGGAGAAAAGCCCCTTCAATTTATTTCCCTCTACAGGGCAGGTTCAGGAGCTGGGAGTCTGCCCTAAAATCAAAGCTCCACAATGCTTCCTCTTGTTATTTGGTTCAAGCCAAACC